ACCTTTCCCAGTGGAAATTTCTTCAGGAAGGCTTCAGATTTATTCGTTTCGCCGAAAACGAAATCATCTGCAATCTTGACCTGAGCGCCGGAGTACTGAGCCGCGATCAGCACCTTGTAGGCTCTGAAGTTTTCTGGGTAGGTGTAAAGAGTCTGAAATAAATCGTAATTCCATTAGCTGCGTCTCGAATCGGTCTTTTTATTTTATGAAACGTGTGTGCTCGTCGGTTTATCGGAATGTCGATGTTTTACGGTGCGAATAACACGAGAAAAACTTACTCCGGACGCCATTGTATCCAGTTACGGGAAGAGGAAGTCGAAGGCCGGTAAAGATCGTTTCTGTTACGCGCATAAAGGCATCTGCGCTACTAGACGTACCACCGAGTAAAGAAAATCGTCCGCCCCACTTTTTGCACCTGAGAGTCAGCAGCGAATTTGGTACTCCTATCTGTGATACAATATTCTATGGCGGAGATACTTAAACAAAAAGAAAAAAAGAAAACATTGAAAACTTCGTCAGGTTGCGTTAACAAACATATTTCATAGCGAGAGAATTGTCCATTAAAATCATGTGTAATAATCACAATCTACAAAATTTTTTTACCAGTTGCAAAACAATTAATATTTAATCTAATAAATCGCGCGGTAAAGATGAACGATGGCGATAAACTTTGGCAAATATAGATCAAACTTTAGGAACCCTTGTGATTCAAATCATCGTTGTCTGGTCAATAAAAATGTAATAATCGATAATTAAAATAATTGATAGTATCATCGAAACATCAGAAATCGATGTAATTTTCGAAGATTTCTCGTCGAGTTTTTCAACATTTTTCTGGTCTCGAATTGAAACTTACGGTATACATTTTAAAACTTAATTATTAATGATAGTAAACTAAAAATTACATTTTCGCCAGATTTATAATTATGCTTTAAAAACGCATCTTAACTCGTCTGTACGGATTCGAGGCTCTGCTGGTAAGTACTAATTCATTGTGATACTTAGTTACGAATTCTTGTCATAGATGGTGGTATAACAATACGAACGATTTTTGCTACATTTGCATGGTACCTTCGGAACAAGCGAGTGTCATTCGTAGCAAGTATCGTCGAGTCCGATGGAGACAATTCTATGTTTCTTAAGCTTTGAACCCGGTTCCTAATAAATAAAGGACTTCACCGAGAACGTAATTGGTATTTCAATTGATTGTGGTAAACAAATATTTTCCGTGATGACAGTATACACTTGAATTCATCTATTTTCAGGTTAAGCATATGCGATAAGTACCGATTACTTACAATAAACATTGCACAAAGATTGAACTGTCAGATGTTTTTATTCTATATATGATAAGGCGCCTTCCTTATTTATTTACTTACTATATAGAAAAATTCAATTAACGATGGACGTGAGCTTAATATTTAAAGCTTGTGTGAAGACAGTTAGTCTTCGAAACAAGGATCTAGGAATTGTAAGTAATATTTCAAACGTGAAGAAAACAAGGAACAAAAGTTCATTCTTCGTGAAAGTACAAGCTGTTGTTGTACAAATTTCAAAGCTACGTCAATTTTTATTAGAAAACCGTAAAGCGTATTTGAATTTTTCAAATTATCTCTCTTATCTGCCGAGTATGACAGATGCAGATAGGGATGAAATAGATATTGGAGCACAGAAAATTATGACCACGTGTGCCCAATTAATCAAGGAGTTGAAGAGAGAAGTGGCAGACTCCATAGTCTCACCTCAAAATTTAGAGCATAGAGAAATAATGCTACTGTTAATTGAGGATTACCTGAAAAATGTATGCAAAATTTATTCAGAGCAAAAAGCGATACGCGTGAAGAGGACAATGGAAATAAGGAAAATCGCTAAATTAGAATTAGAAGCGAAGCCTGTGAAAAAATTTGAAGCTGAAGCAAAGAAATCTAGTTTGAATAGTAATGAAAAATTAGAAGAGAAAGATGGGAAAATTGGTTCCAATGACTCTAGTCCTTTGAAAATTCAAGAAATAAATGGAGATGTTAATTCTTTAATGTACGAAGAAGAATTATCACCAGAGGATATTCAAGTATTCGAAGCAGAAAATGAACAGCTGTACAATGAACTTAATATAATAACCGAAGAAGTAAAGCAAATAGAAAGCAAAGTAGTACACATAGCTGAACTGCAAGAAATATTTACGGAAAAAGTATTGGACCAAGATAAAGACTTGGATCGGTTGATGACCACAGTTGTTGGATCCACGGAAAACGTTAGAGAAGCTAATGAACAAATCAGACAGGCTATTCAACGGAACGCCGGTCTTCGAGTGTGGATTCTTTTCTTTCTTTTAGTTATGTCGTTTTCTCTATTATTTCTTGATTGGTACAACCCATAAAATAAAGAAATGTTTTAGTAATTTTATTAAATCGTTTGTACATACACTCAAAGAATGTTGTACATTATTTTTTATACTAATACATATAATCTTCCCTAATTCTGAAACAACAGGAGATCAAGGTTTTGCCAAAATATGTCACTGTATTTTATCCCCAAAACATTTTACATAATTACTACATCTTATGTAATAAATTTTATAGTATATGTATATATTTACTTATATACACACATTCGCACCTATCGCAAACATTTTTGTCATTTCATCAGTATTTGGTTCAACGGGAAAACATACTGTAAACGAATTACGGGGAAATGTTGCAAACGTTTTTAAGATACAT